TCCCAGCCTGTCCTGAAGTGAACTCCTGCCTTACTCCCAGGCTGACTCATCCAAGGCTGCTACCCATCCTCTAACAAACACAATAAACCTAACTACCTAGAGAGCACTACAATACTATAGTAACAAATATCCTAATCCAGACATCAGAAAAAAGGTTAGATTTCCATCTGCCAATTATTCATCTTCCTCCACTAGACTATGGAAAAAAATATCCTGACTGAGGCATTAGAGAAGACAAGATTTCCATCTGCTAATCATTCCTCTTCATGCACCAGACTATAGAAGACAATAGCCCGGCTTGGACATTATTGAAGACCAGATCTTCATCTTCTACTCATTCCTTTTAATCCACTAGACTAGAGAACAAAAACTCCTGACCTGGGCATCAAAGAAGGCCAGATATCTACAGTATATGCTAATCAATAATCTTCAACAACCAGACTATAGAAAAAAAAATATCCTGCCTTGGACATCAGAGAAGACCAGACCTCCATCTGCTAATTATTCCTCTTTATCTACCAGACTATAGAAGAAAATATTGTGAACTGGAAATCACAGAAGACCAGCTCTCCATCTAATGATTATTTATCTTCCTCCACCAGAATATAGAAGAACATGTCCTGACCTGGATATCAGAGAAGACCAGATCTTCATCTTCTAATCATTCCTTTTAATCTAATACATTATAGAACAAAAATCCTGACCTGGACATCATAGAAGGCTTGATCCTTATGTGCTAATCATTCATTTTTATCAACCAGAATATAGAAGAAAATATCCCGACTTTGACATTAGAGAAGACCAGACCTCCATCTGCTAATGATTCCTCTTCATCTACCAGACTATAGAAGAAAATATCCTGACTTGGACATTAGAGAAGACCAGACCTCCATCTGCTAATGATTCCTCTTCATCTACCAGACTATAGAAGAAAATATCCTGACTTGGACATTAGAGAAGATCAGACCTCCATCTGCTAATGATTCCTCTTCATCTACCAGACTATAGAAGAAAATATCCTGACGTGGACATTAGAGAAGATCAGATCTCCATCTGCTAATTATTCCTCTTCATCTACCAGACTATAGAAGAAAATATCCTGACGTGGACATTAGAGAAGACCAGACCTCCATCTGCTAATTATTCCTCTTCATCTACCAGACTATAGAAGAAAATATCTTGAACTGGAAATCACAGAAGACCAGCTCTCCATCTAATGATTGTTTCTCTTCTTCCACCCGACTATAGAAGAACATGTCCTGACCTGGACATCAGAGAAGACCAGATCTTCATCTGCTACTCATTCCTTTTAATCTACTAGACTATAGAACAACAATCCTGACCTGGACATCATAGAAGGCTTGATCCTTACATGCTAATCATTAATCTTTATCAACTAGAATATAGAAGAAAATATCCTGACTTGGACATTAAAGAAGACCAGACCTCCATCTACTAATGATTCCTCTTCATCTACCAGACTATAGAAAAGAATATCTTCACCTGGAAATCACAGAAGACCAGCTCTTCATTTGCCAATAATTTTTCTTCCTCCACCCGACTATAGAAGAACATGTCCTGACCTGGACATGAGAGAAGGCCGGGCCACCATTTGCTAATCGTTCCTGTTTTTCTATTGGACTGTAGAAATGTACAATCCAGTAGCACTACTACTAATTATTCTGATGACCGTTTTAGTCCCTTATGGACTGGAGGGCTTCACACTGTCCACATCTACAGCCTTCATGACATTAAATTATTGTATATCAAAACTGGACGACTTTGTTCATGCACTGCATTGTTTAAACAATGGCCTTTCCCCCATAAAATCCTGTTTTCAGCTTCGGTTCATTCTTTTCTCCTTCTTCTTGATAATCTGCCTGTTTAAGCCACTCCTTGTCTACTTCCCCCAGCATTGGCTGCACTCCAGTGGTCTGGACCAATGCTCTGATAGTGACTATATAGGACCATGCCTGATCTATGGGTGTTGAACTCAGCACAGGGTGTCCCCATCCCTGCAATAAACCATTGCCACCCTTCCTGCCCACCCCTAGTTCCAGCCCTGATGGCGTCACATATTTTGGATGCATACTTTTTAACGTGGCTTAAAGACTGCAAAAACAGCACCCCGATCTGATTCATTCAGACTTAAAATACAAATAATATTTAGGTATTTTTGGGCGTGGCGTCTGATATTTTATCCAGCAGTGATACAGGAGGTCTGAATTGGCCGGTGGCAGTAGCAGCCATGACACATATAAAGGCTATAGGAAAATGTAGTCTGAAAAAATAAATCTAATGCCCTCAACTTCATAACAGTTGTCCTGTGAAAAAACTGTCTCATAGCATAGCTTGTGATTTTCTTTTTTCGCACTGCATTGTATTAACCTCCCTAGCGGTCTGATTATGTCCATATTTCTGTGCTCAAAGCGGTACATTTTTTTGCATGGAAAATATGTTGTTTTTTTATTGTAGGCCTGTAATTTTTAGGAATAACTCACTGAAATCTGTCTGAACAAGAGTCTAGTAAACATCCCGGGTGTGATAAAGTTTGAAACACGAAATCATAAATTATAATATACTAAATAATCATAAAAATAATAATAATAATGAATTTAATTCAATAATATAATCAAACCAAAAACACTGAAATTTGAAATAGAGCGCCAAGATCGCACATCGCTGAGCTCAGTCGCAGAATCGTTTTCAAATATACTGTATATCTTTACAATTGTAGCATTTTGAAATGCATTCCACAAAATGTAGATTTGTATTTTTAAAGACATAGAGTAAATTTGAAAATGTATTTTGAAAAATATTTTTTGTATATTTTGTAATAAAAATGCATTTCAACATGCAGTATATATATATATATATATATATATATATATTGAATACAGCCAAAATTGTAGTATTTCAAATATATGGCAATATATTTGGAAAGAGTATTATTATAATATAATTCAAATATATTTTGTAATAAAGATGCAGGATATATATATATATATATATATATATACAGTATATACTGTATATGTTATATATATATATATATATATATATATATATATATTGAATACGGCCAAAACTGTAGCATTCCAAATATATGGCAACATATTTGGGAAGAAATATTTTTCAAATATATTTCAAATATATTTTTCTTCCATATGGGACGGCCCATTAACTTTCATGGCCGGTAATCCCTGACCATTGAAGTACATTTTCCAGGTGATGTCAGTAGTTGCTCAGCAATACCTTACAGTAGTAGCTGTATCCGATTATCCAATATATTATCAATGGAGGAGGGGCTTCGTGTTCCAGCCAATCAAGGGGCAGAGCCAACCAAGACTGGTCTTATCCAACACTCCCCTGTGTAGTTGCCACCTCATCAGATCTACCATAACCACCAAGTCACCAAAAGTAGGCTTCTTTTGGCAGAGGAACCTGAAAGCTCAGTGTCACTGAGGATAACTGTGTCCTCAGATATCTCATCCCACCCACCTACAGCTCCTAGGGTTTTGGTGGGGTGGAATGAACCCCATGTAGGCTTGCCCCAAGTCTTCAGGGATGGATTCTTCTAAAAGTTCTAAAAGGAGCCTGCTGGTTCTGAGACACCAGAACTCCTCCTCTTCCTCTTACTGCTTTGCATTTAGTACCCAATCTTTTACACCACGGGTGTCAAACTGGCGGCCCTCCAGCTGTTGCCAAACTACAAGTCCCATGAGGCATTGCAAGATTGCCAGTTACAAGTATGACTCCCAAAGGCAGAGGCATGGTGGGACTTGTAGTTTCGAAACAGCTGGAGGGCCGCCAGTTTGACACCCCTGTTTTACACCATACTGTGTTTGCAACAGCAGAAACACCAGAGTCTTTGTGTCACTAATCCCCGTTGTGCTGCAGCTCACCGCTCCGGTTGCTTCTTCAACTGGTGACAAGATAGTACACGTGTCCTGGATCACGGACTAATGATGTAGGGGAATAAATACCAGCTTCCCCAGAGCCTGTCCTCTTCCTCTATTCACAAAAATACTTGTTGACAACCCACTGCTGCAGAATGGTCATCGTTGAGTTCCAACACATGGTGTATAGCATATCAAAAGGTTTGCAAAGAGCTGACATTGCCACTGCATTTGAATAAAATCTCGATGGATATGACCACCCAAGGTGACCACACAATATTCTGCTGAAGGGCATCCTGAAAGTCAGAGTACCTAACTAGTAACTGTTGCAGGACCAGGTTCAGAAAATGTGCCAGGCAAGGCGTTCTCTTCTCTGAAGGGGCAAATAACAGGTTGATGTAGTTGTCACATGTGACTTTGCCTGGAACAAGATAGCGTGGGGTCAGCCACCTCTTGTCCTGCCCCGAAAGAGCTGCCAGAACTTCCCCAGAGTGGCTTCTGTCCCCCGTGGATACCATCTTGGGACATTGTCTATGATCTTTGTCACTTGAGGTGGACTGGATGTTCTGATGAGTCACTGGATAAGGCCACTGAGGACCAGAGGATAGAGGTGACAGATGTCCCCTATACCAAAGTGTAGGACATAGGGTGGAACCACCAGCTCCATCATTGGTTGTCCTATCGATGAACAGACACCTACTTCCACCTACGACCCCCTCAGATTGACACAACATGGCTCTGCTGTAGCTTAGATCAGCCTTTCTCAACCAGGGTGCCCAGACACACTTGGGTGCCTTGAGGTTTCTTCAGGGGTGCCTTGGCAAAATATCTAAAAATTTCCCAAAACTTGTATACAAGTCAGGGGGTGGGACAATTTGGCCTTTTAGTTACCATAGGTTTCCATTGTGCACCATTACGACCTTCTAGCCGCCGGCGTCTTGACAACCAATGACATCATCAGTTAAGGAGGATGTCATCTGCCTGCACAGCATCCTAGTTTGACCCTCCCCCACCCCTCTCCATCATTGCTTGGGTCACATTAGCTCAGTGATGGAGAAAAACTGAGGGAGAAGAGAAACATTGGAATACTAGTCAGTACCAGGGTGCAAAAGTGTATTTTCTCTGGAAGAATAAATCACCTCTAATGTTGGGTGTCCTACTTGTGTGGATGTTGCTGCGTTACATAGAAATTTTAGAATAGTTTTTCACTTTTTAGAATGGGGTGCCTCAAGACTGTGCATAATTTTAAAGGTTGCCTCGGGACTGTCCATAATTTTAAAGGGTGCCTCAAGACTGTTCATAATTTTAAAGGGTGCCTTGGGACTGTCCATACTTTTAAACGGTGCCTTGGGGCTGTCCATAATTTTAAAGGTTGCCTCGGGACTGTCCATAATTTTAAAGGGTGCCTCGGGACTGTCCATAATTTTAAAGGGTGCCTCGGGACTGTCCATACTTTTAAACGGTGCCTTGGGACTGTTCATAATTTTAAAGGGTGCCTCGGGACTGTCCATAATTTTAAAGGTTGCCTCGGGACTGTCCATAATTTTAAAGGGTGCCTCAAGACTGTTCATAATGTTAAAGGGTGCCTCGGGACTGTCCATAATTTTAAAGGGTGCCTCACGACTGTCCATAGTTTTCAAGGGAGCCTCACAACTGTCCATAATTTTAAAGGGAGCCTCAAGACTGTTCATAATGTTAAAGGGTGCCTCGGGACTGTCCATAACTTTAAAGGGTGCCTCGGGACTGTCCATAGTTTTCAAGGGAGCCTCACGACTGTCCATAGTTTTCAAGGGAGCCTCACAACTGTCCATAATTTGAAAGGGAGCCTCAAGACTGTCCATAATTTTAAAGGGAGCCTCAAGACTGTCCATAATTTTAAAAGGTGGCTCGGTTCGGTCCATAATTTGAAAGGGAGAGCCTCAAGACTGTCCATAATTTTAAAAGGTGGCTCGGTTCGGTCCATAATTTTAAAAGGAGCCTCAGGGCGGTCCATAATTTTATAAACTGCCAAGTGTAGGCCCTCATAATACCGAACAAAGTGAGTTGCTATTTCTTCCGTCTTATGACAGGCCTTCCCATTCAGCATCCTAATCATGTAAATCATGGATTTTGGCTTTTCCTTACGTAATGCAAGCATACATCTGTGTTTGTTAGAGTATTCATAGAATAGCTTTGACCGTAGGATATATTGCCTTCATATCCGGCAACCCAATTTGTCTCAAAGGGATTGGTGAGCTTAGGTTAATGCCTCCAGAGTGGCAATAGCTCCTCCCTCTAAAGAGGCTTGTCTCTCTTTTTTGGGTTTATTAGCCAGGGCTATACAATGGCCTCGGAGCCCACACTTGTGAACGAGCCATTGTGATAGTGGGGAGGAATCCGGAGTCACGTTCAGAGAAAAGTAATCCTTCAGGCAAGAATGAAGAGATGCAAGGTGGGTTGGGTCACCTAAGAGTGCTGGATTTAATTGCCACAATTTGTTTTTGATGTCCCTCTGTGGGAATTGCAATGTTAGGGTGATAGGATGGTGGACAGAAATATACATCGGCTAAATAGTGGCATGCGTAATGAACTTGAGGTCAATCTGAGAAAGGAATAAATAGTCGATACGTGAATATTTTTGGTGCAGGTGAGAGTAGAAGGTGTAATCTTTCATCAAAGGGTTGATTACACATCAAATATCATGTAACACGAGGGAAGATAAGGAGAGTTTAAGCTGTTTTAGGGCCCTGAATGGGACAATTGATGTGCCAGATGAGGAGTCCAGTAAGGGAATTATGGGTACATTTAGGTCCCCTTCCAGGATTAGAATGCCCGAGGGAAAGGAAGCCAGATCCTCTGTGACTTTACGTAGGAATGGAACCTGCTTGGCGTTTGGACAGTATATGTTAGGCAATGTAATTGGACGATTATACAGAGAACCCTTGACAAATATGCATCGACCTTCCAGGATCGATCATCTTATCCTATACAATAAAGGGAAGAGATTTGGCAATTAATATCAAAACACCTTTTATCCTTGCTTCCAGGGACGAGGCATGAAACGTGTGGGCATCTATGATTGAAAAATGTGGGTATCGTTGGAGATTTGAAATGCGTTTCCTGTAGGAAGGCTATGTGCGCCTTATGTTTTGCCAACGCATTTAGCACCATAGTCCTCTTTTCAGGGATATTCAGTCCTTTAACATGTGCTGTGAATGAACTCCCGGCTACACAAAGGGTCCCCACAAATGTGCATGTGCTATGATGCCCCGTGGGCTGGCAATTCCATCCCTCCTCCCCGGTGACTAAATCCCAAATAAACCAATAAGTAAATACAAGGCGCTTAAAGGACAATAGTGCTAAATATAGCACATATACAATGCCATGAAACTGTGTATACAGTGACATTATATAAAAAAAGTATATATATATATTAAAGTCCCAATAATTGTGCAAACATAAAAAAGTTCCAAAAAAACAAAAGAAAACCACCATCCGCATCCAGTGTGAATATTAAGTGATACAGTAGTAAATGTTCTTATCCATAGCAGTTCTCTGTCCGTAGTGCTCCAATCAGCGCTCCCCCTCCAGAGCTCCAATCAGCGCTCCCCCTCCAGAGCTCCAATCAGCGCTCCCCCTCCAGAGCTCCAATCAGCGCTCCCCCTCCAGAGCTCCAATCAGTGCTCCCCCTCCAGAGCCCCACTCACCACAGATAATTGACCCCCTGGAATGGTAGGTCAGACATCGCAGTCAAGGACTACACTGGGGCTCTTGTTTGGGCAGATTTTTCCCTCTTTTTGTCCACTGCTGGAACTTCTGCTCTTTTACCATCTGAATATGGCTAAGCTTGGGTTTCATCATTGACATTTGATGATTGGTTACTGCAGCCTTACACAACTGGAACGAACATTGCTTTGGCTTTCTGCTGTCTATCTGACCAGACGTACTCTTGGACTAATGGTTCCTTAATGGGATCGGAGGTACTCCTGGACTGATGGTTTTTCACCCCCCGATGTCCGCTGAATAAGGCTTTTTTGTACTTTCTACCAATATTGATCTTCATCTACATCAGGTGTTACTCTTGTACACAGCATCATCATCGGCACTGTTATTTTGTTTTCCTAAATTCCCTGAGGAAGTGGGTCTTATCCCACAAAACGCATCGGATTTCTGAATTAATAATTCAACTTTATGGAAATACATTTGCCTATTGACAATCTATGTATCTGGTGTTATTGTTGGGGTTCTTAGACTCTTTCCCGGGACACCTTTGCATCCCAGGCCAGAGCCTTTCTCCCCCCTTTTTTGTTACTCTTAGAGATTTATACTATGTTTTTTTTTCTTCATTATGCATGTGTCTATTTTCACTGACCAGTTGGTCACTCTTACCACTTATGTGTTTTTTATTTATAAAATTACAATAAAACATGTTCTATTTATCTAGTGTTTTCATGTTGTGCATCTTTATACTTTCATATGGTATAGTGCTTTAAAAGCCCCATTAGTGTTTTCTCTGTTAGGGTTTTTATATCTAAAAGAAACCCCCATCCGCATCCGGTGTGAGTATTAAGTGACACAGTAGTAAATCTTCTTATCTATAGCAATTCTCTGTGCGAAGTGCTCCAATCAGTGCTCGCCCTCCAGAGCTCCAATCAGTGCTCCCCCTCCAGAGCTCCAATCAGTGCTCCCCCTCCAGAGCTCCAATCAGTGCTCCCACTCCAGAGCTCCAATCAGTGCTCCCCCTCCAGAGCTCCAATCAGTGCTCCCCCTCCAGAGCTCCAATCAGTGCTCCCCCTCCAGAGCTCCAATCAGTGCTCCCCCTCCAGAATTCCAATCAGTGCTCCCCCTCCAGAGTTCCAATCAGTGCTCCCCCTCCAGAGTTCCAATCAGTGCTCCCCCTCCAGAGTTCCAATCAGTGCTCCCCCTCCAGAGCTCCAATCAGTGCTCCCCCTCCAGAGCTCCAATCAGTGCTCCCCCTCCAGAGCTCCAATCAGTGCTTCCCCTCCAGAGTTCCAATCAGTGCTCCCCCTCCAGAGCTCCAATCAGTGCTCCCCCTCCAGAGTTCCAATCAGTGCTCCCGCTCCAGAGTTCCAATCAGTGCTCCCCCTCCAGAGTTCCAATCAGTGCTCCCCCTCCAGAGCTCCAATCAGTGCTCCCCCTCCAGAGCTCCAATCAGTGCTCCCCCTCCAGAGCTCCACTCACCACAGATAACTGACCACCTGGAATGGTAGATTAAATATCGCATGAGATGTTGCAGCTCTCTCCTGCAAGAATGTTGACCTTCTGTGTGGTCTTGACACCAGTGCTCCCCCTCCAGAGTTCCAATCAGTGCTCCCGCTCCAGAGTTCCAATCAGTGCTCCCCCTCCAGAGTTCCAATCAGTGCTCCCGCTCCAGAGTTCCAATCAGTGCTCCCCCTCCAGAGCTCCAATCAGTGCTCCCCCTCCAGAGCTCCAATCAGTGCTCCCCCTCCAGAGCTCCACTCACCACAGATAACTGACCACCTGGAATGGTAGATTAAATATCGCATGAGATGTTGCAGCTCTCTCCTGCAAGAATGTTGACCTTCTGTGTGGTCTTGACACCAGTGCTCCCCCTCCAGAGTTCCAATCAGTGCTCCCGCTCCAGAGTTCCAATCAGTGCTCCCCCTCCAGAGTTCCAATCAGTGCTCCCGCTCCAGAGTTCCAATCAGTGCTCCCCCTCCAGAGCTCCAATCAGTGCTCCCCCTCCAGAGCTCCAATCAGTGCTCCCCCTCCAGAGCTCCACTCACCACAGATAACTGACCACCTGGAATGGTAGATTAAATATCGCATGAGATGTTGCAGCTCTCTCCTGCAAGAATGTTGACCTTCTGTGTGGTCTTGACACCTCTATATGCTGATGACAGACTCCATAGTGGAAACACCTCTAGATCAATCGTTTGCAACAAAACTCCTCCAGAACCTCCACAGTACTCCTTGTCAGGCACTGCCCGGCGGAATCTCTAGTGATCCACAGAACAGGAGCTCCCAGGACGCGGAGTCTAAGTCCCAGTCTGCCTTTTCACCAGAGCCCCTGATGGTGGGGATGGACTTGGTGCAAGACTGAAACCAGGTTGCGACCCCTGAGTGCACCCAACTGTGGTAGAGGGGTCCCGCCGAGGGTACGTGCCGGGGGTGAGCCTGCTGTGAAGAGGCTGACAAGTCCAGGTCCCAAGCGGGATGGATGGCAGTCAGGAATGAGCGTAGTCAGACTAGCCAGGTCGGTAACAGTGGAGGCAGGTAGGTACAAAACAGTAAACAGAGAGCAGCCGGGTCATGAGCCAAGGTTCAGCAACGGGAGGTCCAATAGTCATATAGCAACAGGCAGGAGAGTAGTCAGGGACGAGCCGGGGGTCAGAGCAGGAGAAGGTCAACACAAATCAGGACAAGCAAGACCAGCAACAGGAACACTTCAGAACATGGGAACAGGAACTAGACTTTGCGGAGACCTAGTCACCGTCTGGCCAGTTTAAATAGTGCGCCCTGCACCGTCATTGGTGCAATTGCCGCCGCCGGCGCCCAGGTCCTAGTGCCTGCACATTAGTGCATCTAGGCAATCTGCGTATGTACAGACCTGTGTGTCCCGCTGCGAGACCCGCAGTCCCTGACACTCCTCCACCACCGTAAAAACATCAAAGGGAAACTTCCATAGCGTAACACCATATTTATTGGGTAAAAAAACATTTTTAAATTGCACTTACATAAAAACCATGTGTATGGCACTTTAAATCACAGCAAAAAGAGCTATCAAGTGTAGCGCTATCAAGCTCCGCTCTACATGTTTCAGGGCTCCTGATGACGTCATATGACGAAACATGTAGGGCGGGGCTTGACAGCACTACACTTGTCCTCTGAAAAGGAATTGCTTTTTGCTGGAAATTAAAGTGCCATACACATGGTTTTTATCTA